TGATACCGTCTCGGAAACCCAAGGAGGGGTCACTATGAGTTTGAGCCGACTCGACGCCAGTGAGTTTGGTTTTGGTTTTGGAATGACTAATGATGGTGGTCTTGTCATGTGCTTTTTGGCCATTTGTATATCTTTGGAGAAACGCCTATTCAGGTCCTTTGCCCATTTTCTAATTGAGTTATTCTTGTTGTTAAGTTGTAGGAGTGCTTCATATATTCTGGATATTAAACACTTATCAAATAGATGCACAATCACCACCCATAGAAGCAGCAGTCAATAAATCAAACAGTGCGTTGCACTGGGAAGACTACTGCAAAGACCTCTTCAAAGTGTTAGAGAGCAAAGATGTCTCCTTGAGGACTCAGGTGCACCTGACCAAGCCATAGTGTTTCCAGTCACCTCATATGCATGTGAGAGCTGGACAGTGACTAAGGAAGAGCAGAGAAGAACTGATGCGTGTGAATTACGGTCTTGGCGAGGAATATGTGATAGACCGCCGACTGCCAGGAGAGCAGACACATCTGTTAGAAGTTCAGCCGGGCTGCTCCGTAGAAACGAAGACTGCAAGCCTTCATCTCTAGGACTGAAGGCATGCTGTCGGGACGGGCCATTCCCTGGAGAAGGAAGTTATTCTTGGCTAAGTAGAGGGTTAGCGAGAAAGAGGAAGACCCTCAGTGAGATGGACTGACACGGTGGCTGTAAGTGTGGGCGCAAACACAGCCACCGTTGTGAGGATGGTACAAGATCGGGCGGCGTTCCGTTCTGCTGCACACGGGCTCGCTGTGAGGAGGGACTGACTCGGTGCACCCAACACCGACACACACTTCCTCTTTCCTGTAGGATAATTGTGCTCTCCATTAAACACTGGACAACGAATGAATGTGATTATTATAACTGAAATGTTAAAGGTCATAGATAAAGGGAATGAAGCTACTATATAAGCTTGCCCTTTAAGGAAAACCCTGAAGGATTTGAAGTTAACTTTTCAAATATCGTTTGATTATTTAACACACAGCAGTTGCTTCTTGAAAAATGAAATGTGTACCGAGCTGCACAGCCACCTACTCACTGGTTTTCAGTTGACAAGATGGAAAGAATTGTTAAAATGTCCCGTGGAGCAGGATGGCAGTAGTAAACGAACTTGAAATGTTTTGTTGTTGTTGTTGTTGTTTTGCCGTCGAGTCGGCCCCGACTCATAGCGACCCCTCCTTGGGTTTCCGAGGCAGTATCACTACGGAAGTAGGATTGCCCAACCTTAAGATACTGTTAGTTGATAAAGATGCAGTTTGAAATACTATTCTGAGAAGTTTTTTTAAAAAATTACTGACCTGGGGCAGGTTACTTAAATTTTTAAGCCCTAGTTTCTTGTGCTGAAAAATGAAAATAAGGATACATCTCTCTGGGAGTTCTTGTGAGAATCAGGTGTTAGATGTAGAGTCATAAGTCCTTACGTAGATGTTGGCATGCGCGCTTCACGACGGTTGTTATGGGCAATACCCTTTTCCTCCTCGGCATCAACGTGACGGAGCTCTGGTGGTGCAGTGCCTAAGGCATCTGACTGCTAACCAAAAGGCTGGCGGTTCAAACCCACCAGCCACTCTGTGGAAGGAAGGTTGGGCAATCTACTCCTGTAAAGATTTATCACCTTGGAAAGCCAGTGGGGGTCTCTGTGAGTCAGAGTCAACTTGATGGCACTGAATTTGGTTTTGGTTTTCTGGAACATAAGCTGTCTGTGAAGAAGGGTGGTTGACTAAACTGACCAAGGATATTAGAGCCACAGAAACTCCGGGTGGTGGTGTGTGTATGACTGGTGGGGGGGAGCACGTGCAGCATCTGACCTGGGAAAATGGTCCAAGTGGGCCTGGGATTTAGAGGTACCAAGGGGCCCAGGGGAGAAAGGACTGCGGTATGAAGAGATAGTCTAGTCAGGAAGGGGCTGCCTGCCAGGGTGCCCTGAGGACAGGGCAGGAGAAGACAGAGACACGTCAGGGAGAGCTCCGTCAAAAGGAGCAGGGCTGGGGAACTGTCTGTGTGTCTCCATCTTGTCAGGGGGGACATTCTGTCTCCCAGGGAGCTGGAGAGCCTGTGTGACAAGAAAATGCGGTGCTGTTCGAGTAATAGGAGTTAAGAAATAAAGAGAAAGAAAACTCATCATCATTGAATGGATTTCAACTCTTAGCGTACAACTGCCTGCCCCCAGAGGGTTGCCTAGGCTGTCAGTAGTCTTTATGGAAACAAAGCCCAAACCACACCCACTGCCGTGGAGTCCATTCTGACCCACAGCGCCCCTAGAGGACAGAGTGGAACTGCCCCACAGGGTCTCCAAGGCTGTCAGTCTTCACAGAAGCAAAGCCCAAACCATACCCACTGCCGTGGAGTCCATTCTGACCCACAGGGCCCCTAGAGGACAGAGTGGAACTGCCCCACAGGGTCTCCTAGGCCACCATCTTCACAGGAACAGATCGCCAGGTGTTCTCCAACAGAGAGGCAGTAGGTTCAAACTGTTGACCTCTTTGTTAGCAGCCCATTGCTTTAACCACAGCCCCACTAGAGCACTTGCATAGGAATATTAGGAGGAACAAACTTTGAGAGTAAAGTGATTGGGTTTTAATGTGCTGACTGTGAGTGGGATCTAGGGGAGAGGTACCGTGAGTGGTTGTAAATGCAGCCCAGGCAGTTGTGGGAAGGAGGTGCTGAGCGCGGATTGCACGGGAGGGATGGTTGAATCTGCAGCCGAATCATCAAGAAATAACACTGAGAACTCATTCTGGACAGAACCGTGCAGCACACCTTATAAAGCGCTCCAGCCGAAAAGCAGACAGACAGGTCAACAGAGACGCTCAGAGAGAGAGGAGGAGGACCAGGCACTAAATTAGAAACAAGGCAGGCCGAGGAGTGTGCTAAGCACAGGTCACTGAGAGGATGAGGAGCGTCCGAACTCTGACGCCCCGCGGTGGGCGACAGAGGACATCCTTTAGGGGCCGAGAATTGAGGGCAGGTCCCCAGAAGCGCCCCAGGCCTCTCCTGAGGAGAGACCCCTGTCTGAAGACGTGCCTTAGAAACGTACACCTTGGGGCTCACCCTGAAGAGAGAGCAGTAGGTGAGTGTGGTGTCAGCGCCTGCAAAAGTGCTTGGTTACTTCCCTGGGGACCGTTCCTGATGGTTAATTTGAATGTAAGTGTTTGAATAGGGTTTAAATGGACTCCTACTGTTTCAGTTTACGTAATTGTATTTGTATCACACACATGATTGAAATGGCCTCATCTTGAAACTCAGGAAACGGGTGTCCCTCAGGGACACAGAGGCGCTCACTGCGGGGGGG